ATATAAAGTTCATACAAATATCTAAATGAAAATATAATAAAAAACATATTTAAAAATACTAAGTCAGAAATAAATGAAAACTTAATTAACCAAATTTACTAAAAGTATATACACACAATGTGGCAAGCTTTTAGTAAAATGCACAAGTCCATTGCACACAAAAAATCAGATGTGTTACAAAAAATATTTATATTCAAGATACGTTTGTGAACTGATGACTTCAGTACGATTCAGACTTCAACAAGTCGAAGTGCAAGGTGATATTCATGTGAATAATAAAAATACTTTTGTCCATCATAAACTTTGCACACTGCATATCCATAACCTATAGAACATTCCAAAATGCTTATCTACATTTTTTTTTCAGTATCTCTGTATATTGTATCTGGTACTTGTTCTATTCTACCAAGCACAGTCACTAAATCAGTAATGTAGAGTAAAATGAATAGTTGATAATTCTGGCATTAAATACATGATACCAAGTTGAATGACACTCTATAAAAGGTTGTGGCTTGTGCACATAGGTTTAAGCAAAATATACAGAAGAAGATGGAAAACTAAAAACCTAACATTTAGTGCAGGGAAGTTTCTCAAAAGCAGTTTTTGTTTTCCTTCTTTTTCTGTTTGTTTAGTAGATGTTTATTTTTGACTGACTACTTCTAGACAATATCATATTTTAATTTTTTACAGGTTTTGGTTTTCATTAACATTTCTGTAAACTTTCTTTTGTGATAGTTATAACTGATGACCCAATTTTACTGTTGTCTGTTTACAATTTATGCACAAAACGACTATTGCAAAAAATTCATCCCTAATTTTAAACTCGCGGACTAGAAGGAATGCAATTAGTCAACAGCCCATTGCCAACTCTTGAATGCCTCGTCTGACTGAATAGTAAAATTTTACAGTTACTCTAATGGCACACCCATGACTCCAATAGCATGGAGTGGGTTTTTGCAATAACAGGATGCCAATTGTGAATCTCTGGATTACCAGCCTGGGAATAATCACTAATACAATACGTCCAGCCCTGGGAAGATTAAATTTTTTATGCACATTACAACAATTGCTTATTTCTGTAATATAGATTTTATTCCTATGTAGTTGCTTTTTGATTTAGTAAAGATTTTAATTACAACAAAACTTCTATAATAATAATATGCTCCTATTAAGAGACATTGAAGGATAGCCCTTAATATTTCAGTTTGTTAGTGCAGTTTACATGGTTTTGGTTCATATTATTATTTTAAATGTTAAATTCAACACAATGAAAGCCTAACAAAATAATTCTACTTTGATTTCGTTATATATTTATTTACAATAGCTTTAATTTTAATATTTCAGTATGATTGTATTGTGTGTCTACATTTAATCCAACCCATAAAGAAAGAGCAACACACACACACAGTTAAGCTGAATGTTCATATTAAACTAGCCTATAAATCGGGCATTACTGAGGGGCTGAGACTAGCAACAACGATAATTACATGTCTTTTAACCTATTTTCTCCCTCTTCCAGTAAAATCAAGTAAAGTGTAAAAAATAGTGTATGTACTACCACTTGAATTGTTTGAGACCCACGAGCTCAACCACAAATGTTAAAAACCATCAGAATTTTTCAGTTTCTCATTTATTACTCACTGGCTGAAATAGCATTTTTCACATTTTATTGTTTAGCCTGTGATGTTTTCCTTGCTTTTCTCACAATGAGGTACTCTTTATCGAGTAGTATATGATTTTGAAAACAGACAGAACCACATCCAAGTCAAATTGCCATGTTGTAAATTCAGTAAAATGCAACAAACAATTTCCACCAACAATACCACAGGAAACAGTATGGTGAGACAGATGAAAAGAGCAACACATTTTAGTCTGTGTGTTCAGGATGCATTATAAAGCAATTTTCTCTGTCCTAAAGTAAAATTTATGTATGTGTGTACGTGTAAAATAAAGTGTTAACATGAGCACTGACTAAAATTTAGATGACTTGTGTTTAAAACTCTTAAAATAAATTCTTTTTTATAAGCATTTGGATTCTTCATTAAATATAAAAGTGGAAGTTACTACCATACCACTGATACATCTGCAATTCAAATGAATATATACAATTTATTTATGATGCATAGTGGTTGATTCATTAAAAAAAATCTATATTTTACTAAGTTCTTGGTCACCTATAAAATAACCCCTGCCAGTAAGCTGTAAAAAATAAAAATAAACAAGAAAAATTGAAAACAATAATCTAATATTTACATACATAAAAACATTATATCAACTTCAGGAAATATTTCAGTGAAGACAACTTTCATTGATACAGTCAACAGTAAGTATGGAAACTCTTTAAAACTCACTCATGAGGCTAATTTCATAGCTATAATATCCATAAATAATACTATAAAACACACTTTATACTAGAATATGAAAGACAATACACATGAATCTAATATCTGAGAGCAACTAGCTCAATAGCACAAAACTGTGACAGAAAACATTTTTCCAGTTTAAAAAAAGGATGTGAGGAGGGAGAATATGTGGCTTCCTATTGGCTTTATTTCTACCACCTAAATGTGATTAACT